GTGTGTGTAACGACGCTGTTACAAGCCACTCCCCCCCTCCCCGACACGACGCGATCGCCTTGCCACGGACAAGAAGGTATTGATTGAACAGCGTTGCCACTGGCAACCAGAGGCGATCAATAGCTCCGTGCAAGCCGTGCTGCGTCGCTGCAGCAGTGCTGCTGCCGCTGCCCGTGCCGGCGCTGGCAGATTAAAGGATTAACTGAGGGGGATCCTAATTAGCCGGTGCCGACGTGAGGCAACGGCAATATATTTGGCATAGCACAATAGCATTGACCATATTAAGACAATAATGCAAACTGACACTAGCTGTTCAGTCATTCGTGTAATTTAGTCTAATTTAGTCCAAGAGGATTAGATGCAGCAAATGAGGCGTGAAGCCAATCATCGCCAACGTCGAGGAACCATATTGAACGCCCGTGACGCGTCCGCGCGAATAGACGGCGCCAGCTCCTGGACGGTGGTGCTACAGAATAGCGGGTTTTCCCGTTAGGTGCCGCCACCGTCCAGAGTGAAGGTGGTGAAGCCAGGTGAACGCAGACGTGTCCGACGCTGTGATTGGCGCGCGTGGCGCGTGCATGAGCATGCGCCGCGGGCATGCCAGTGGCTATAAAAGCCGCTGCACAAGCGGATTCGAGGAATGCTCTCCCTAACTCCAAACGCGACCGCCTGTGAATTTGTAACAGTGAAACAATAGTGAATCTCAGTCTGAATTAAACAACATCAGTCATGGTATATATTCTTTGATTGGCTTCTCTTATCTATGTATTGACGAAACGTAACATAGCAAAACAACAATAGTATAGTAACGTTAAACTAAACGTTACATTTGGTTCCGTGAGAGTCGCTAGTTCCTGCTGGCTATTGTGAGCATATCCCGCGATGCTATCTACTATACGATCACGAGCCGTCCCATCCACAATAGCATCGTGTCATCATCGATCTTACTTTTTCATCCACCGATTGAGACCGACGATCTCATGACACCGCCGAGTAAGTAAAGCTAACCTTACTGCCGGTTTAGTCTAAGTCATTATGTTTAATTTACCTATTGCTGTGTTACACCACGTAATTCATTATTGTCGTCGATTTCTGACTTATGCGCGTCCTGTGCGAGTGTTGCGGTCTCCGCGCTACGTGCATTAGTTATCGCACACCTTCGCACATACCTAGACGGCTTTGCAGCTTGATGATTGCTGCCATTCGTTATGAATGAGTATTGAGTGATCTCGCTGCCTGTGTGTGCCTGTGTGTGTGTGTGTGTGTACGTAGAGAGTGAGTTACTTTAGCAACCAGTGTGATGGTAGGTTAGTGTTATACCTAAACAGTGGAGTCGTGCAGATTAATGTAATGCAGATATTACACAAACATAGAGAGCGAGTTACTATAGCAACCACTGTGATGGTAGCTAGGTTAGTGTTGCTGAGAGGGTCTATGTCTCCCTGGGTACTGCCGGAACGTACCCTAGTACTATCTAATATGCCGGACCGTACCTCGCCTACTCCACTAACGAGTCTAGGGAGTCGCCTACGCCTACTCCCTAACCCTAACCCTAACCCTAACCATATCAGATAGTTACCTACCGTGGTGGTAGGTCAGTGTCACCTAAACAGTGGTAAGGGGGTAATATTAAAACAGTGGTAAGGGGGTCATATTAAAACAGTGGTAAGGGGGTAATATGAAAACAGTGCAGAATTGCCTATAGGCTAAACATAGCAATTCAGTGTGAGATACAGTACATAAAATGAGCGATAATATATGTAAAATGATACTCTACGCAAACAGTGGAGTATCTAATACAAATGTATTTGATTTATCTAACCTAGCTATGATCTAACACAACTGCCCGGTAATGTCGTGATACGAATGGTGCAGTAGTACCCAAACAACAAAATGTGCACCAAATAGCGGAGTACAATCAAACAGTGAAGCATATTAAAATATCCTAATGCAAACAGTCGAGTATTACCCTAGGAGTAGAATGCCAAAGGTAACAAAACGATTGAGTGCGAAAAAAACGTGGAGCGGGAACAAACGCAGCGGAATGGGTGAGCAGCAAACAATGGAGTGCATGTTACCGCACCATACACTGAAGTATACTAATTAAAACAGCTAAACTAAGAGGTCAAGTGGTTCGAAAAACTCCCCCACAGCTCCCCGAACCCACCAGACCTAGAGTGCTTGATACCACCTCAATATCGGAAGACATAGGGACCCCTTGTTAGGAAGAAAATTACTCTTAACATTAGTCTTAACTTTAACTTTTTCTCCTAGACCGGAACCTTACACACTGCATAGGAGAAACTCGTCACTTTACTACGTTTCTATCACCGGTCTGCGAGAACATAAATTTATCGTTAACACTAATGTTAAGACTAATGTTTTCGTTACAAATTTGTACAAATAACACCAAAATTTACTATTTGCTGGTGCTACTTATGCTGACCTAGTCAATTTAAGACCAATTTTGTTTCCGACCACCGCCCGTTATAGTCCCTTTTGATAGGTAAACTTACTTCTGCGCGTCTCGTAGTGTGGGCATGCTGCAGTATCGCTGCACGATAACCTGGTTTACGCCGTAGAAGGACAGCCAGTAGAAGGTGTATCCGACTGCCATGCTCCACACGGACTGGTAGATCGTCGGATCCGGATCCCATCTGCGGTGCACGACGGGTTGTAAATGGTAGTTGAATAGCTGTTGGCACGCACGAACGAGCGAACGCACGCACGTACGCGTACGTACACGCCCCCCACACATACACACGCGCACACACACACGCACGCACGCACAACTATATATACACAATCACGTATACAAACGCGCTCGCGTACCAACACCCAAATACGTGTATGAATGTTGTTAGACTTAGGCGATCACATCTCGCGTCCTACACATCTACGACTACGTCATCGTCATTCGCAATGACGTCACGCGAAAGCCGCGGCTGCTTCGCGTGACCTGTAGAAGTCAGGTCAGCTTGAGGTCATGTCAGCTTGAGGTCATGTCAAGGACTAAGAAACTCACATGATGCCGTCAATGCGTCCGTTCTCCTTGCACCTGGTCCACATTTCGCTGAATCCGCCGACCTTGTCGACTCCCTGCGAGGCAATACATGAACGATATCACATAGAGGTACATAGAGGTACATGTGGTGAAAGCAGGCGGGTGGCTATCTGGTGTTTGATGTGCATGCTGTTAATATTTCTAATGAACACTTGAGGAGAGGAGGAGTGAAATCGCTTTATGTATTTCTCGGTGAAATGTAATCTGGGAGTGAGTCCTCTGAATAACTATCTCTCTATATATTTATCTATCTATCTAATTATATTAGATATCTATAATGTGTGTGTGTGTGTGTGGTGTGTGTGTGTGTGTGTTGTGTGTGCGGTGTGTGTGTGTGCTGTGTGTGTGTGTGTGTGTGTGTAACGACGGCTGTTAGGGCAAAGCCATCCCCGGCCCCTCGCCCAAGCAGCGACGCGAATCGCCTCGGCCACGGAGGCAAGGAAGGTTATCGTATTGAGACAGCGTTGCGCAACTGCGGCATACCAGCCGATCAACTAGGCTCCGTGCAATGGGCCGGGGCTGCGTCGGGCTGCCGGGCAGTTGGCTGGCTGGGGGGCCGCTGCGCGTGCCGGGCGCTGGGCAGATTAAAGGATTAACTGAGGGGCATCGCTAATTAGCGCGCGGTGGCCCCGACGTGAGGCATACGGGCAAATATTTGGGCATAGCGCTATAGCATTGACCATATTCAACAATAATGCAAACTGACACTAAGCTGTTGCAGTCATTCGTCGTAATTTACTCTAATTTAGTCCAAGAGGAATTAGCCTGCAGCAAAATCCGACGGCGTGAAAGCCAATCATAGGCCAAGTCGAGGAACCAATTGAAGGCGGCCCGTGACCGCGTCGGCGCGGCGAATAGCGCGGGCGGGGCCAGCTCCTGGAGCGGTGGTGACTACAGAAAGCGGGTTTTTGCGGCGCGTTAGGTGCCGCCAGCGTCGCAGAGTGAAGGTGGTGAAGCCAGGTAAAGCGCAGACGTGTCGCGACGCTGTGATTGGCGCGGCGGCGGCGCGTGGCATGACGCATTGCGCCGCGGGCATGCGCAGTGGCTATAAAAGCCTGGGCTGGCAGCAAAGCGGATTCGCGAATGGATCATCCCTAAGGCTCCAACGCGACGCCTGTTGAGATTTGTAACAGTGAAAGGCAATAGTGAATGCTCAGTCGAATGTAAAGCAATATCAGTCATGGGTATAGATATTCTTTTGATTGGCTTCGTGCTTATCTATGTTATTGAGCGAAAACGTAAGCATAGCAAAACAACAATAGTAAGTAAGCGTTAAACTAACGTTACAGTTTGGTTCCGTGAAAGTGCGCTAGTTCCTGCTGGCTAATTGTGAGCATATCCCTGGCGATGCTATCTAGTTTTGTTTTTTTTTTTTTTTAAAATAAGGCATCACGAGGCGCGTCTCCATGCGGCACAATAGCATCGTGGCATCATGCGACTCTTACTTTTGCATCTCACCGATTGAGACCGCGACGATCTCATGAAGCACGCGGGCCGAGTAAGTAAAGGCTAACCTTACTTGGCGCGTTTAGTCTAACTCATTATTTAATTATCCTAATTGGCTGTGTTGCCTAAAACACGCTAACTTCAATATTCTCGTCGTGCGGATTTCTGACTTACTGGGCGGCGTCGGCTGCGAGTGTTGGCACGCGTCTCGGCGCGCTAACTGGCATTAGTTATCGCACACCTTCGCACAAGTACCTAAGACGGGCTTTGAGGCAGGGCTTGATGATTGGGCTGCCATTGCAAGTTATGACTGGGTATGAGTGACTGCGCTGGGCCTGTGTGTGGGGGCCCTGTGCTGTGTGTTGGTGTGTGTGTGTGTGCGTGGGCGTACGGCGTGTGTGCGCATGTGTATTGCGTGTGTACGCCTGTGTGTGGCGTGTGGGCGCATGTGTGTGTCGTGTGTACGCCTGTGCGTGCGTGTGTTACGCCTGTGTGTGGGCGTGTGTACGGGCCTGTGTGTGCGGCCTGTTGTGTCGCGTGGTACGGCCTATGGCGTGCGTGTGTACTGCCTGTGTGTGCGTGTGTAAGCGCCTGTGTGTGCGTGTAAATAGGGCCTGTGTGTGGCGTGTGTGGCGGCCGCCCCGCCCTGAGTGTGCGTGTGTAGCGGGCCTGTTGTGCGTGTATACGCCCTGTGTGTGGGCGTGTAAAGCCTGTGTGTTGCGTGTGTGCGCCTGTGTGTGGCGTGTATACGCCATGTGTGTGCGTGTGTACGCCTGGTGTGGCCTGTATACACGGCGCTGGCTGTCGCGGTATAGCGCCTGTGCTGTGTCGTGGTGCGGCATGAGTGTTTGGGGCGTGTGCTGGCGGCCTGAGTGTCGGGCGTTGTGTAACGCCTGTGTGGCGCCTGTGTGTGCTGCTTGCGTGTGCGCCGTGTGGTGCGTTGCGTGGTGCGGCCTGTGTAGTGAGTGTTGGCTGTGTGCGGCCTGGGTGGTGTGTGTGATGTGTTTGGTGTGTGTGTGTACGCTGAAACTTGCGTGTGTGGCGCGTGTGCGTGTGCGTGTGCGTGTGTGTATGTGTGAACGCCTGCAACGCGTGTGTGCGCGTGTGCGCGCGTGCGTGTGTGTGTGTGTACGAGCGTCTGCAACGCGTATGTGACGCGTGCGCGAGTGCGCGTGCACTAGATAATCCCACACATTCGCACATACCAAGACGGCTTAATTAACGGTCTGATAATTGATATCATTGTTACTCGAATAACCTACCCCTAATCCCTAACCACGTTCGTCGCATAACCCTGTTTCGCGCAGTATGCGCTTAACAATTTTCAGCAGCATGGTGGCGAAATAAGTGCCCGTATGGCGACAAATTTTTTCACTCTCGCCCTGATGGCGACATATTATTTCACTCTCGCCCGTATGGCAACAAATTCTTTCACTCTCGCATTGCAAGCGATACCGGCTGATCGAATTTTAACGGCTGAAACACAGAGCCGCCTAGCCGACATTTTTTTAGACAGAGACACGCATAGAGACGATTGCTTCGTCGTCATTGATGAATCAGTCATCTGATTCATGGCGACTGGACTATTACGGCCATTACGGCCATGCCATTACGGCCATACGGCCATAACGGACGAGGCAGCCATTACAATGCTTAAGCAGACGTGCTTTCTCGGTTGTTTTTGACGCGCCTGCGCCGATGTCATCTCATACCTCATCAATCAATGCCCACCACCTCATCGTCGTTCAGCGGTATGGCCTCACGACCCATTTATCAAGTGGTACCGCCTTTGCCTACCAGTGGGGCCTCACAACCCCCACCTTGAGTAGGCTTCACAACTCATATTCCAAGTCGTACCATTACGCTTCATCACGCTTCATTACGCTTCGTAACTCTCTCACTGACGCTCCCATCTTGGAATTCCCTGATGGAAGTTCCCACTAGCTACCCTGCGACGCTTCCGGCTACGACGTCGGAGCAATTCACACGCAGATGGTAGAGACCTAGAGATCGTATGACGATTGTCATACGCTGACAATCCAGTAAATCACGCTACTATACGCTTGCACCCAGCATTCGCTGCGATGCAGCATGACACTAAAGTGGCACATGCGCGAAATAAGTGCCCTTATGGTAGGCGCGCGAGGGTTCAGTCCTTTGACATAGGAGACCCCGTCGATTTTGTTTAGCCCCACGTTGGCAGCCTTACTATACCGTGGTCGACAAATTTTCTCGAGTGCCACTTGCTAGTAAGGCGCAAGGCCAAAAACGTACTTCCGATGTACCTGTGTGTAATGTTCTACTCGCATACCCATTCTTCACATGGGATGCGCATAGAACCGTGCTTACGGGTCGAAATGCCACACGTCACGACTAACGCGTCAGGGACGCTGGTTGACACAGGGCCTCTTTCGTCGCCGCCCCACGACGGCCTGACGACCAATGCGTCAGGGCCTCTTTCGTCGCACCCCCACGACGACACGCATGCAGCCAGTGAAGCACTGATAGCTGTGATGCAGACGAGTTGTTGCCACTCGCGCAATATAGCTGATTGCGCTAAAGGGCAAAGTATACATGGCGTGCATGTAATGACGCCAACCTACGGTCATTCGATTAGCGGTATGCATCTCAAATTTCACGATGCACACTTCTACTCTATAATTGGCCCATTAGTTAATCCATACCGGCTTAAGGATGGTTTTACGGCCCCGACGGCGTGCAGCGTGTACACCGCTAGCACTAGTCTTGTTAATTAGTAGCGATAATCGTATTAGCATATCCGTAAAGCACACTATAAGTAACACGCGCTTCATTTAAACGCATATATTTGTCAGACGCCGTTTAAAGCGGCCTGGTTGTAACTCTGTTTATTCCGCGGCTTATACGCGACCGCGTTCTACAATTTGTTTTGTGCCGCTATGGCAATTATCGGGCAGTCATTGTCACATACTGCCCCGGCTATGACACTGTTCCACGTATTACGCCCACCACTTGACATTGTCAGGATCACGCAAACAGCGGTCAAGACGACGAAAGGCAGCTACCGACGCCGTTGTTTCCGCCGCCGACTTGCACCTGCGCGGCCTGCGCCGGCATCTGCGCATGTGATTCCTGCGCCAGCGCCGCCGGCAGGGACCTGCGCTGCCTGCGCCTACACCAGCGCCGCCTGATTGCATCCGGGACGCCAGCACCACCTGCCTGCACCTGTGCCTCGTGCGCCAGCGTCGCCGCAACCTATGCCTGAGAGGTCTGTGCTGCGGGGCGAGGGGAGCATATGCCACCCGCCCCGCCACAGGCACACTCCACCGGCATGGCGATGCCCGACCTCTCCTCCCTGGAGCCAGACGACGATGACGAATCCTGCGACGACGACTCCTGGGAGGACGAGTGGCCACTGGCCATGCAGGCCGTGCCCAGCAGCGGGGATTGTCGGACAGTTCACCGGGTCAGACACCACAGAAGACCCAATGGACTACGAATTTCAGGTTGGGGGATGGCTGCGGCGGCCATCTTGTCTGCCGCGGCGACACCACCAACCCCCTCTCCCGACGCATCCGACGAGGAAGTCGACCACTGACGTCCACTGAAC